GCACATCCGTGAACAAAGGTCTGAAACCTGAAAGGTAAATCTGTAGGAGAGCATATAAAACTATCACCAGAATTTATGCTCCTTAATCTCTTTTGTGTTTCCTTTTCATCATTAACACGGCTCTAGTGAGGAGGCAGTGAAGTGGTACAAAGGAGCCAACTGTGCAACACATTCCCTTTTCGCCGAGTGAACAGATGTTGCTTGTATAGAGGTGAAAGGGGGCTGATGTCAACCAAGAGCCATAGAGAAGCCAGTTGAACTCCCCATCCTGTAGCCTTTCATGGATGTACAGTGCAGCTTTTAGTACTTTGATTGCTGGGCAAGTGTCATGCCATAATACAGCACCTCCCGGCAGGACATCTACCTTCTATGTGTACTGCAGCACAGACTATGAATATGTATAACCACAGCCTGCTCTGTGGCAGAGAATAGAAAGAGGTTCCAACAGAGTTTACTTGAGCTGTAAACCCAGAGTATTGTATAGAAAATATAGTGAGTGTGTGTATGTGTTTTCCAAATAGACTGCTAAAAGTGACCTTGAAAATAATTTAGAACAGCCCTAATGGTATCTGTATAGAAAAGGAGAGCAGTGTTTCCTGCGTCTTTTAAATTTTTTTTCAAATCTATTATAATGAGTGAAGAAACTGTTCACACGCAACAGTCCCACATAAATAAAACATAAAAGTCCATTAAAATACTTCTAGAAGCTTCTTTTTAAAATTTTCTCCTGAGACTACAGATAGTAGTGGAATATTCAAAAGGATCTGGCTCCACAACATGTGAAACCTACTTTCAATGTGGGGAAATTAAATTGTTTTAGGACTGATGAGTTGCCTCCTTAAATTTCTGAGTTCTTGGATTTTGATATGGTCTATTTGTCCTGCTGCCCAGAGAGGTTTCCATAAGGAACTAATTAGGTTTCATTTACACAAGGAGTGACTACATTTTTTCACTGCTTTACCAAATTGAGAGCTTAATAAAGTAACTGCACAAAAACATCGCCATAGCAAATGTAATTGTTCCCCTATACTGCATAATTAAATAACATTTCTGAACTGATTTAAAATTTCCACTGCACTTGAACTATATAATAGAGAAATCCAACACAGAAATATCTCTGCTGAAGCTATGTCTGCTGAAAACGTTCATCTTGCTTTCACTTATGTTTCTTCCCAGAATGATCTCAAAATGCCACAAAACTTTGTGAGCAGGAGTCACTGCCAGCATTGGGCCAGGTGACCTCAGTCCCTCAGCAAACTGCTAGGCCAGGCGTTCTGCACGACAGTGGTGCTTTCTTCATACTCGGGAGGTCTGAAGTGATGTAAATCATGGGATTAAACTGGCTAGTTTTGCTTATACAAGAGGATCTCTAGACAAGGTCCACCTTGCAACAACAACAACAAAAACCCTCAAGTGCTGATAAAACCGATTAGATATTTTAAAAAAAGGTGTATGTGTAATAAGGACCATTTTTGGCCCCATAAATTGTGATTTTTGTTATCTCCTGAAATGTGACAGGATCTGTATTACCCAGATCCTTGCTTTCTAAGTGAATACTCACGCCATCTGCTGGAAAGTTATGGAATTTACCAAGTTTTTTTTCCAGGTTTTTTTCATTTTTTTGATTTTTAGGTATTAAATTCTTGCACTTGTTCTTTTGTAAAGATCTATAGGTAAATCTAATATAGTTAAAAGGCACTTAATTTGGATGGTCTGGTAACTGACAGAACCTTTTTTTACACTAAGATGATACTAAATTACCATCATAATTTGGTATTGATTATGTGAGTTTAACTCTTTCAAGTAAAACGCCAACTCAGTTTATCCAGTCAGTTAACACTTAAGACTTATTTTCTCCCCTCAGATGACTGGTTAATCATGCTGATTCTACAATATGATTGACTGTGGCAAGAAAAAAATTAAAATCTGCTCAGTTCATGTGGGTTGCAAAAACATGAAAATCATCTGCAGATGACGCTAGATTTCTGGATTGAAATTAGTGAGATGATTCCACATTTAGTTCCTTGGACAAGCCTCTAGCTTGCATGCATCTTAGGTCAGCCTATAAATGCTTTAGCAACCCCATAATTACAAGTATCCAACATTCCTGCAGGGATAATGTAGAATAACTATATAATAATACAACAAAAATTATTATGGAGTTACCTAATAACTACAAAAGCATTCTGCATCCTCAAAGGTTATGCAGAAAGCAGGACTGTACTCCAGATTTTACTATGAAGTAATCTTCAGGTTCATATCAATATGATGTAAGGAAAAAATACACTATAAGGCATCAAAATTCTCAGCTATATATAGCTAATACTTGGCTGCACTGTTACTACTCCGTGGCTAAGACCCATTCTGAAGAAACAGAACTGATCTTGTATATGAAGTAAACTATCTTGCTATTCACTCTGGGTGAAGATATAGCAAAGAAACTGCAGCACACAGAAACCGCTCCACATATTGAGGCTTGTGATGTCCTTCGGCAAACTCACAGACACCTGCGGTCTGCTGGGGATGGACAACTCGGAAGCAGAAGAGAGCGTGGTAGGTAGGAACAGAGAGCAGAGTTAAGCTGGACTTATAGGACCAGGAAGATCAATTAAAAAGACCATATATCTAAAGCTTTATATCTTTACATCACTTAATATTTTTTCTTCCATAGAATTCCACCTTCCAACTATAGATGAACCTGCTCTGCAGACAAATCAGCACATGAGCCTTCTGCCAGTAAGAACATTGATTTGATTTTTTACTTACAAGGGTCAGAGGGTATATAATTAGAGAGAAAAGGACTAACACAAAGAAAGTGTGTTCCTATGATCGAGAAAATGGGGAAGCTGGAGAAATAATTTTGTCTCTGAGACCAACGAGTGTGTATATGATTCAGGAGGCCTTCTCACTTAAAGGTCATTACAGATGGATACTAGGCAATCTGTGTGGGGGCAGTTTTTGGGTCATATTTTTTACTTTGATTTTTAAAAAGGTGCCTGGATCATGGTGAGTCTTCAAGTCTGACCTAGTTCCAGTAATGTATAAAGGTGGGCTAAGATTGGGCTAGAAAAGTTCTTTTGTTCTTCTAGGAAGCATCCTGCATGGAGAAGGCAGATGGGATGCCTTCTCATTATCGTTAGGTGGCCCAGTGCTAGGGGGTAGGGAAGGTTACAGCCCTGGGACTCCCCAGAGGAAGCCTTGAACCCTCATGTGAGAAAGGATGTTCATCTGCGCAGCTTGGTGAGACAAGGGAAGATTTTTTTATTCAGGTGTTGACTTAAGCATAACATATGCACAGCATATTTTTAATTTACTGGTTGCCCAAAATGAGAGGGTGCCAGGGCAGCAGATATGTTGAAAGTTCATAAGTACACTCATGTGCCATTTACAAAAGTCCTTAGTGCTGGAGGGGCGAGGGAAATGTCTTAGATGTCTTCACTTGGCTGGGCAAAATTAGTGAATGTTTTATGGACGTGACAATGTTAATGTACTTGCACTCCTATTCTTTTACCTGTAGCATGAGGATGATACAAAGAGCTGCTGAAGCATCTAGGGTGGATTATAGGGTGTTAGAGTAGTAGAAGCACCACGTAGAAATACCAAATTGAAACTATTTTTATCAAAATTAGTGTTAGGACCATATTGAGTATGATCTATGACCACATAATAAGCAAGAGAAATACAAATAAATGTTGAATAAACAGTGCCTGCTGAGCTTAATAACCTGTAAAAAACCAGGATCCTGTCAGTTTTAAGACACATACAGAATAAATTTAAATCAAGGCTGAATGGGCAATTTTAATTTAAGAATTTCCTTAGGTATTCCTTTCCTTTAAAACATTTTATGTTCTGTTAATATGTTTTGATTCAGTAAATATGTACAGGTTTTTTTTTAGTATAGTGAAATATTAATTCAGTCAGACTGTATTGCAGCATTTCACATGATTTCAGTTCAAAGTCTGTATACAACCAGCTTCGACTTTTCAGCACCCTCTAGAGTAAGCAGAAAGATCCAGCAGCCTTTCTTTTCATCTTAGATAGCTGAGGTCTTATACTCCTCTTTCTGCCTTTTTACAGGAGTTCCTGAATATTTTAAAAATAGTTATCGAAGTATTGGAAAGAACTAAATTGAAACATGTTAAATTATTAAATGAGTGATTATATTATAAAAACAGTCCTTAAAATGCTTTCATATGAAAACCCTACTTCAGAAAAAAAGCCAACCAAACAAAGGTTTTTATCTGGCAAGCAGGGGTAATATTCCTATTAAAGTATAGCTTTACAAGCTTGTGGCTGATGTTCAATCTTCTGTAAGTGTCTCTGGAAGATGGGCTACAAGGTTTAGCATCTGTACACTCAGCACTCTTGCAAGTCATCATTTCCATGAGGACAGGGCAGCTCCTGCTGCCTCCCTCACAGATCTTCCATGGTGCTGTCTACTGACTCTCTATTTTCCTTTTACAATTGTAGTAATTGTAATAATAATTGAGATGCTCCTTCGTCTTGTATCAACAATCTTCCTTCTGTCTGCAATTTTACTTTTTTATTTTTTTCTCAGAATTCTGAACCAAATACATGCAGCTGGCCTGTCTCAAAACTACCCTGTGGGTCACAGACAGCTGAGTCCATAGAAGGTAACATCTAATGAAAGCCCACTGCTGTTTCCCCCTCTGGCCCCAGCCATCTCTAATCTTACGCTTTGGCCCAGGTGTTTCCACAGACCCCCACACCCCTTAACTCCCCAGCTGAGCTTTCACAGGTAGGTTACGCAAGCGCTGGTGAAAGGCAACACCGTCTCAGCAACCTACCAACCTACCGGCTCTCACAAACGTGTAATTCAGGCAGTGTCACGGAGCACGTCTGGGCTGCTTTGTTGGTAAAACACTAGAATTCAGCTGCATCGAGGACCCAATAACAGTGATACATCTGCAACCCTTAGTTTTTCATTAGGAATTATTGAAGTTACTGCCTTCTGTTTCCAAGACTGTAAATTTTGTTTTCATACAGTGGCATTAAACTGCCAAGGAAAGGGCAACCATTTCCCTATCAGTTTACACTGGTAATTCATTATTCATCATACAGAATTAGAGAGCTGTTAACTGAAGGTCTTTGAGAGACATCTCAAGCAATACACCAGAGAAGCTTGGTAGCTAAGATGCTGTTGACTCTTTCCAAGCAAAATATAACTCAATCAGTCTGACAGCTTTTTATTTATTTCTTTTTTTTAAAAAAAAAAACATGTTAATTTGTTTGAAAGAGCATTGTAAAAAGAATTGGACATGGTCTTGATGTTACACGTGGATGTTACTGGAAGTTACTCGATACAGAACTTTTTATTATTATCATTACTAATGTCATAATATGTTCGCTGCTGCAACTAAAAACTTCGTTAAACAGGTTGGTGATGGAGGAAGACTAGTTCCAGTGCCTAGTCTCAGTGAAGCTGATAAATACCAGCCTCTAAGCCTTGTGATTAAGAAAAGAAAATGTTTGCTTTCAAAAAAATCTAAATTTGCTTCAACACCTTTCACGCTAAAAGACATTCTTCAAGGGGAGAAAGAAATTTCTGCAGGTAAGATTTCTACCTTTCTTCAAAGCAGAGAAATGCATGTTTTCTAGTAAACACAGAACAGTAGGTGTAGTTTAAACTGTGTGGGTAGTATGATGGTTCTTTAGCACAGGGGTAATAAAATTTGTCTTGTTTACTCATGCAATAAGTATTTAAGAAAAAATATGTCAAACTGGTTAAAAAAAAAAGAAAAAAAGGACTTTATGGAAAAAGAGTAAAAAAAAAAAAGTCAGTTATACTAAAAAGCCTTGATATTTTCTGAACTAATATGGAACAAATTCAGTTAAGTCTTGTGTGTTTTTCATAAATAGTAACAGGTTCCTGGTAGATGTATTGATGTATGTTGATTAATTGCTACTTAAAGTTTGTTTTTAATGTTCACCTTTCTATGTATACTTGCTTTTAAGTGTGTGAGAATGGCTTGAGTTCTGCAGCTGTTCATGCTGACACTCTGGTGTTGAACTGGGCTCTGCACAAGCAGGACCATTTGAAAACAGCTCTCTGACTGAAGTAATTGGACTTCCATAAGACTTTTTTCCCATATTGTTTATAATTTTTGTGTATTTAAAGAGTTTAGCCGTGCTTAAATTGCCTTTGCTATGCAATATCAGATATTTTTGAGGAGATTCTATGAGAACTAGAAAGTGCAAAATTGAACTATGCTGCCTGTATTTTCCTGTACCCTCCTTTGAAAAGTCCATGTAATACTTGTCTACATGCTATATTTTCTTGAAACAATTTCATTGCTATATTTGCTTTTGAAAAAAAGTCAATTTTGACAAAAGTATTGATCACATTAATTGCACAAGAACTGCATTAATTAAAAACTCTTCTGAGACATACCAGTATGAGCACAAGAAGACAGAAATGCCAGTTGACCCCACAAAGGGGTGATTCCAGGTCACAAGCACGATGAAAAAAAATGGAATCCCCCTAATCCTACTAGTCTTACATTAAGGACAAGTCAGCTTAAAAAAAAAAAAAAATCTCATTAAAAAGTCTGAGAAAAAGGTTGCAAAATCTCATTAAAAAGTGTCACAAAACCTTTCTGGTCTTTTCTGTAAAGGTTAGATATCATGTGTAGCAAGTATTGTCCTCTAATGTAAGCAAAGAACTTTGTAATGAGAAAAAGGTTGCAAAATCTCATTAAAAAGTGTCACAAAACCTTTCTGGTCTTTTCTGTAAAGGTTAGATATCATGTGTAGCAAGTATTGTCCTCTAATGTAAGCAAAGAACTTTGTAATTGAATTTCCTTTTTATGTGACAAATGCAAGCATTTGCAATCTTTTTAGAATTATGAAAGATATATGAACCTTTCTTTTTGGTTAAAAGTAAAGATAAACAGGATTCATACCAGGTGACTTCATGTCAGTTTATCCTAAAAGCTTCAAAGGATTAAAAAAATAGAGGAGTAAACCCAGATTCTCAAGTGTATTTGGATGCCTAATCCCTGTGTTCTACCTGCTGTATTCATTTGAATTTGGCAACCAGTGCATTCTAATATTTTCCTGTTACTGTGACAGAAATGTATTTAAGGTTATAAGGAAAGAATTATAGAAAAGCTTTGGTATCTACCCTTTGATTGCAAAATCAATCAATGCAAAGTTCAAAGTAAATCAGAATTAATCTGTTTTTTTCCTTCAAAATAAACCAACATAGTCCCTGGAATCATCAGGCATACATGGAAAGTGTGGTAAATCTCTCTAATTGTGACATGTCAGGTAAAAGGGAAAGTTGGTATTACTGGAACACTCATGTCTCATTCACATACTGCAAAAATGAAGAAATGTTAGGTTTATTTACACTGCATCTAAACAAAATTCAGAATTACTTTACACTCAGTAGCTTTATTTTGTTCATAGTTTTAATATTCTGTGTGGCCTCCACTAAATCATTTTGTGTTTCAGAGCCTCTGTCATTAAACCCAGAACATGCTACATGTCTAGTTTATGCAAGTACCTCGTATATATACAGCAATCTTACAGGTAAAACCACTTTAGGGGAATAATGATAAGCACAGACGTGTAGAAATAGCCCTAATCACCATTCCATGCCCAAGACATATCACATGCAGGAGCACAGGCGCAACTCTGCCAGAGAGGGGCATGGAAGTCCCTCAGACCCCTATGCTCTCCGTTTCCGTTAGTCATTAGTAGCAACACTGATCAGTAAGTGCTCGGTCTAGTTCTGAATTTTACATCAAAATGGTTAAGCACAGTAGGAACAGTGCCGTTTATTCTTTTCTTGCTGTGTAAAAGTAACTGCATTCAGACTTCTCATCACACAATGGTTTATCTTCTTTTACCCAGGTGTCTCGTCTTACCAGCTGCTCAACTATGAAGACAAATCAGATGTTTCGCTTAACGGTAGAAGAGGAAATCAGATAATGAATGATGTTGGTTTTGATGTTGCTGGATCAGATTCTGTTGCCTTTAAAGCTTCATTTGGCATAGTGACCAAACATGAGGTTGAAGTACCAACATTACTTAAAGAACTTACTACAAGGTTATATTATATATTTACTGGTTCCCTAATTATTTCATACGGTTAGGTTGAACCTCTGCAATGGTTAGGTTTTGATTGTTTTTAGCCAATCAATAGCAGTCACCGTCTGATATTTTCCAAGAGTTTCGGGTTGGATTGCTGGGATTAGACACATGACCATATATACAGAATATATGTATATTCTGTATAACATAGACTGTAGAATTTTTCTGAATTAATTCCTTCAGGAAAAAAAGAAAGAAATGCAGAAAGGTTGTATCTATGTTATTCCTTACTACTGAAAATTTGAAATTTACTTTGAATGATGTTACCCAGCTTCAGGTTTTAGAAATAGGATTTCTATGCCTTTCTCTGATGAACTAGAGCACCATATGTATTATTGCCAATATAGGTACTTGAAGGTTTTACGAGGTTATCACACAGCCTTTCCTTTGAAAAGTGAAGTAGGTTTATCTACTTGAATTTTTCATAACCTTCTGTGTCTATTCTCTACATCCAGTCTCCATTTTTCCAACATCCTTGTTGAGCTGTGGACTCTGAAACCAAACTTATGTTCTTGTAGTGCTAGCACAGATGTCAAACACTTAGAAATATGATATGACTAATTCTAGGCGTAAACTTCTAGTTTATATTTCAAAGATTATCCGCTGGCCACAATGGCATCCCAGTGAATTCCATTTACCACTGGAAATGGTAAAATTATTTACCATCCATGATGTGACATACGGTATTTTCAAATATAGATTGTTTCCTTGTAGTTATTTACTAAGAAGTGCATGTACTTCTGTATCTTAACCTCTCTTGTTCTGTGCCTACCTTTTCCTGGTTTATTTGTAACCTCCAAATATTATCATTAATAATTGGGGGTGGGGGAATGGGTCCTAGTCTCCTGATAAAAATATTCAATATTATGGGACTAAGAGCCAACGCCTGTAGAAATTTTCCTACAAACATTTGTTTTATGATTGTTCCATGTTTATGAGTGTTAATGTTTTTTTCATTTATAGTTGACGCATATCAGTTAACTAGTTTTTAATCCACTGAGTGTATGCCAGTTTATATAGGCACCATTAAGGCTTCTAACCAAAACGTTGCATCATCATAAGCTTTATAGAAGCCCAAAGATAGAGCATTATAGCTGTTGCTTTTACTATTTGTTTTCCATAAATTTTTACTGAAATTAATTTTATCACTTTAAAAAAAATTGTCATTAACTAGAGCATGCTAACAGTTCCTTGCTGTTACTAAGAACAGTATCAGATTAAGATACTTGGAATTTTCTATGATGTCCCACATATCCTCTCTAACATTTGTACATTACTGTCTTTTCTTGATTTTTTTAGTGTTTCTGTTCCCAAACACCGAAAATCAATATTAAGTCTCCAGAGACCTCCTCAGTCAGTAGTTTTACTGCTATGAGACAGAAGTTATGGTGATTTACTTACTGATTTAAAGTTACTAATTCTATTAACTGCTTTGTAAATTGTTAATAACCTCTGAATTTCCTTCCTGCCTCCCTCTTGATTTTAGAAAAATAAACTTTGATCATTGTCTAGTCCATCAATCAAGAAAAAGTAGGATGGAAATTTTGTGCGTGGTCATGGAAAGTATTAGAACTACAAGGCAGTGCTCATTAACTGTCCATACTGGAATGCGCGGAGAGACAATGAGGGTAAATATGTCTGACAAAATTCTGTAACTTAGTTGAACAAACATAAAAAGCTCATTTTTATAATTTTATGGTTGGATTTAATTGCATTTTTACTGATGTAAGCTCAGAAAAAATCTGAATTAAGTCAGTATTATTGCATTTATGTAAACTGAATTAAAAGTTGGTCTTTTGTTAGTATTGTTTACGTGAGTGAGGGATAGGAAATGCATGTAAGGATGGCTACACAATGAGCCACTGCTTTGGGTGAAGCCTCAGCAAAGATGTGGAATTTATTTCGTAGTTTGAATCTTCTGTAAATGTGCCTGTCACTATTATATTCATCTTCTACAACACTTTGGAACTTCAGGCTGTTATTATTTCAAGGGTTGATATCTTATTCATGTTCTTCCTCTCTCCCCCTCTCTCTCTTCAGCATGTTTGAATAATTGAACCTACAAATCTTCTGAGATTTGCCTATTTCTAGTATTTATAAATCATTCACATAATTTTCAATGAGTGATACATGTTAAATTACTATCTCTATATCAAACTTTATTAAAATGCAAAGTTGTTAATATAAAATTCTTTAGTTGTCAAATTAGATCTTCGGTTTCAAAACTTCCTCTGGCATTATAATTCTCAATATATACGGTTATTATTTAGTTTGTTTTTTCAATGTGTAACTTTTTTTTCTTTTGATGCTTTTCTAAATTATAGTTTCACATTATTGAAGATCAGAACTCTAAGGGGAGGGACAAAGCCATTGTTTTTCCTGCGCATACAACTATTGCTTTTAGTGTATTTGAACTTTATATTCATTTGGATGGTAATTTCGGTAAGTGATGTGCATTACTTTCATTACTGATGTTATTTATAATGATCTGAGTTTTTAAAACAGTTTTCTTCCTCTTGATTTACGTAAGCCCCAATCCCATACAATTGTATGCTTTAATTCTATGCATGTAAGTAGTCTGAGTTTCTAAGGGAAACAATTATTGGAAAGATAAACAAGGCAGGTGCTAGAAAATAGTGTCTCATGGAAACACTTTTTTTAAAGTTCAGTATGATTTCGTAATTTTTTTTAGAATTCCTCAGTCTCATGGAGCAAAAAATAATTTCCTTCTATTTCTAGCCTGTAAAGAACAGGCTTATATGACCATCTGATCAGTTTTGCATAACATAGGCAAGTAAAAAAACCTAATTAAGAAGATAGTGTGCAGAACTTCTAAATTAAGCTAACATTTTTTCTGCTGGGGCTTTAATTTCAGTTGGATACTTCATTACCATATATGTATATCTGAAAATATTTAGGAAGAAATAATCACAATCCTGGAAACTAATAAAAAAATTTGCATATCTCCTATAAGTTTTTCTCCTTTTGGGGAAAGGATAGCACTTATGCATTTACATTGTTTGCATTAATTGAAGTGTAGCCTATAACATTATCAATGTGATCAATATTGTTTGTAATAAACCAGAAAGCCAATTCAGGATTTGATCCAGTACCTGATAATATCTAAAGCAAAACTCCCCACCGACTAGAGAAATGTCAGATAAAGTTTTAACCACCAGATTCACATGTACTTAAATATAGGAACCTCTATGAGAGTCACTCAACTGTTTCAGGAATTGCTGGACTCTCTATAAAATTGTGGCTTTCTGCAGACAGCAAGATAAAAGACCTGGCGAGGGAAGTAACCTCTGTCTCTGCAGATCTGTACAGCACTATGTTTTAAAAGTTTCAAATAGCTCCATACCCTTTGGCATACACAGTATAAAACTTCCATGACAGGTACTCTGCATTGTAAAGCACATTTTTAATGAACTATAAGAGACATTTATCCTTCTGTAAAAGCTTTAAATATACTCCAAACCAGGCATAATTACTGGATTAAAAGTAAAAGAGCTAATACATTATGGTAGTTCTTTATATTCACTTCCATAATGCTCAACATTCATTTCAGTTCTGGAAATGTTTTCATTTTATTTTACCTTTCTGCAATGGTAGCTACATGCACAGCGTTTTTCCTCAAGTCATTATCAGTGAAATAATCAATGAAGCTGATATGTGTATTTGCATAATTAAAGTGAATTCTCAATTGAGAAAGTTTAAAACAAGTTTTTTTTTTCGGTTTCTTGCAATTGATTATCCTTATATATAATTTTAAAGGTTTTCTTTCAAGTTATGGATAGGAACTCAGGTGATACTCCTTTTTATCTAAAAGCAAAAGTTTTAGTAGTCGATTCAATGTTGGAAGAGATGACCACAGAACTCACAGCCTTGCTTATTATTTTTCATTTTTAGTTTCACATAAGATCATAGAAATGTTTCTCCTTCAGATGCAGGGCTTCCACTTATATGATACTGACTGTCTTAGTCTCATAACATGGCCATAAATTGTGTATAAAACAAATCATACACTGATGGGCTATGTTGAAAGCCACCAACATTTTGAAATTCCCACTGGATCTGTCACCTGATTCTATGGGCTATTACTGTGTGCAGACTTGCATTAAAAAGTGGTACTAGCCATTAAAAACATTAGCAAAGCTGAATCTAATCACTGTTAGCTTTATAGATTAGAAAGCATATTAAACTCTGTTGTGCATTTATTGCTTTTATACTGTTCTTCTAAAAAATTAATTTTTACAGAACTCTGTGTGACTCCAATTGCAAAAGGAGGATTTGAAAAAGAGAAATCAGGATCATCTTCACTGACCAAATTAAGGAGGTTAAAGAGTAACCTGTTTCATCGAAGTATGACTTTTGATACTTATATCCAAATGTCTTAGTTAATGCATGAAGAGTGTATTTTTGTTTCTTTAATGTGTGTGTAGGGTGAACACTCAAATAAGAAAATGTCAACAGAAAATGTACTTCTTTTAATTTCTTGTGTATTAGAATGATTGTAAAGTTATGAAAATTTATATTTGAGAAGCTGACTCACAACTAAACTATGGTATTGTTGTTCGTCAAATCTCTGAAGATCTTAAAATAAAAAAATGATGGCTGATGATAAACTGGTATGGAGTAATTATACAACTTCAGTTAACATTAAGCCTGTTTCATACACTTGCCATTTACAGCTAGTGTTATGCAATACAATTTATAATCTGTAAATAGTATTTTAGGGCAAACTCTTTAAGTTTAAATATCAAACAGTCTTAATATTTGAACATGGTCTTTAGGCTTTGTGTTCACATGGCAGGGACACGGGCAAGATGCCATCATAGTTCTCTTCTCTCATTCTGATACGAACACAACATCCAACAGAACTGTCACTGTATGTAGCTGTACTTTCTTCAGAACCAGATCCTGTACTTTGAACACTCCTTGGTCTAAATATTTTGGAAATCTGCAAATCTGAGTGTGAAGATAATTGCTGAGCAGTAAATGCATCCTTCTGAAGGCTGCTCTGGATAGGTGTCCTTGCCCCATTGTATCCCCATTTCGATCAAAGGGCTTTTATGGACCAAGCCTTCAGTGCTGCTCCCCTCACACTAAGGGAATAAATCTTCAGTGCGTGCGAGACATCTCAGTAGCTGTAGCTGCCTAAAAGTTTGTCATCCAATCTAAACTATCAATCCCTGAAGAGAGGAAAACGGTAGGTAGTTGCAAAAGTAATTTCTTCTGGGGGTGGATTAATGCTCAGCAATCTGCTAGGAGGTCAACATGGAGTCCTCCAAGTTTTCTAAACCTTTTCAGTAGTGGTGGGGTTTTTGTAAATACTAGGGGGAAAAAAGTGAACTTACAATTTTTAGAAAATAAAACTAGAAATGCAAAAATGAAAGTGGTTAAACAGGAAATGGCGCAGCTGTGGTTTGATTTGGCACCATTTTTTCAAAAGCTTGCATCATGCCTTTTAGGTGTATTTCTAAAAATATTATAATTATATAGGACATACAAATAATCTGGCTTTTGTCAGTATATTTGTGAAATTAAAAATTTTCATCATACAGGGTTTTTGATGGGAGGAAATCTAAAATGTGGCATGTTTAGAATGGTTTCATGAATCAGTTGCTATTTCCATAAGTAAATCGACAGGTTATTTTGTAAATAGTTCATAATGTAATGACAAATCACTGCTTTTTTGTGTGTGTGCATTCTTTTCCAGATAAAAGAGCAGTGGCTATCGTTGCTAACTCTGATGCTTACTTGGAGGACCTTTTTACAGATTATTATGAAAAAGCTGCAAGCATGACTGATCTCTCTACAAGCTATCTCAGAGAAGGGTCTCATATCCGAATTAATTTACTTAATAACAACATCCCTAAAGGTCCCTGTGTCCTTTGTGGAATGGGAAGTTCTAAAAGGGAGACAGTCTACGGATGCCTGGAGTGCTCTTTTAATGGACAGAAGTATGTACGATTGCACGCTGTACCCTGTTTTGACCTCTGGCATAAGAGAGTGAAGTAACGGAGTTAGGTAAGTGCCCGTTGTTGCAGACATGGGCTTAACTGTGCCACAACTTTTTCAGAATTAGTAACTGTGACTCAAATAAGTTTAAATGCAAAATAGTGAAAGTGCAAAACATTTTATTACACTATTATTTTCAAATTATTTGCTTCACAGTCAATGACCTTTCACTTGAAAATGCCCTTGTGCATTCCCAGACATTCTTCTGCTTCTTTCCAGAACACTTTCATTATCATAATGAAAACTGTACTTTTCAACTGAATTTTCATAATGTCAAAATATATGCTAGTACTTACTTTAAGTTGTTTACACAAACTTGTAGTTAAATCCCAATATGTTGCCTTTATCTACACTGGCATATGATGGTAAAATGAGAATATTTGTTAATAATTTAGTGTTCTCATGAATGTTTAATTGAAGTATCAGATTAAAAAACACGCTAAAACTTAGCTCAGTCTAATGTTTCATTTACAAAAGGGAACAACTAAAACTAGGGATAGGTATTTCATATTAGGAAGCTATTACCATATGTCAACAGTTTGTTTAGATTACTAAAAAGTACCAGCCAGCCCACCTTCTGCGTTTGGATTTTAGGTAACAGCTGATCTTGATTTCTTTTATGTGTTCAGAAAAAAACTGCTTAGCAGAAAATGTTTTGGAAGCTTATGTGAACAACAGAACTTATGTCCTTCCAACAAGACCTCAGGGGGGTGAAGGTTTTTAACCAGTGGATCTCAACCACAGAGAATTGTATGTGTTGAGCACATAAACACCAGAGGGCACTACAGAATTCCGCCCAATACTGACATTAGCTAGTACACTGCTGAAGCTCTCCCCACCGCTATCTTCAACTACAAAAAAAATTAAAAAATGTTTTTCTACCTTTTAGAATGATTTTAAGGTTAACCCAGGTACAGAAGCTTTTTTTTTTTTTACTTGTGCTGCCATTTTCCCTGTGCACACCTGATGTTGAAATAAAATACAGCTACTGCTTTTCACATGAGAAAAGTATGTTAGACAAATATTACAAAGACATCTGCACAAGCAGAACAGTTAATGAGCCCGAAGTACTATCTGTTAACTGTTGCTACTTCTTTGCATTTTTCCAAAGTGAGGGAAACCAGAATGATGCTTATATTACTTATATATATATACTTATATTTATATACAGTATCTCCCATCGTCTTCCACCTCATCCAAGTAAATCACGATAGCCCTGTGCACACCTGATGTTGAAATAAAATACAGCTACTGCTTTTCACATGAGAAAAGTATGTTAGACAAATATTACAAAGACATCTGCACAAGCAGAACAGTTAATGAGCCCGAAGTACTATCTGTTAACTGTTGCTACTTCTTTGCATTTTTCCAAAGTGAGGGAAACCAGAATGATGCTTATATTACTTATATATATATACTTATATTTATATACAGTATCTCCCATCGTCTTCCACCTCATCCAAGTAAATCACGATAGTGTAGATTTTGAACTTGGTGCTGCTGAATAAACCAGCTAACTTAGTAATTTTACTAAGTCAAAGTTTAAAAATCCACTTAAAGTACTGCTTTTTCATGAACACGAAATTATTCATGTTAATATTACATCAAAGAGGTTACTTTAAGTTGCTTTAAGAACATTTCTGATTTTGTTTTTGACATTCCATGGCCAGTGTTCATTTCTTTTAAGACCTTTTATATTTAAATTTGCTGCAAATAACAATCTCTCAAGAAGTCAGCCTAGTAGCCTGCAGAGGTTTTGTGGAGTTAATTCTGTTCTCCCCTTTTATTTTACAGAGGATTGAGAAGTTATGTTTTATCTATGTCAAAAGGTACTGGACCTATTTTTGTGTGTTTGATATGACAGAGATAATTGTTTTAATCGGTATTTTACACGATGAGAAAGACTACTGAGCAATACCATAGATTAGGACATGATGCAGGAATGACTAATACTAGACCATGCTGTTTTCCAATTGTATTTCTTTCCTTTGAAATACCTAATACATTTTATTAGTTGAATGTTAAAAATAAGATTTTTACAGTCACATAAAAAAGATGCCACTATAAAAAAAAACACCAGAAAAAATTCTGTGACAGAGTATTTTTGTTTAGAATTCAGTGTCCAGAAAACAGCCAAAGGTTTTTTAAGTACTTAGAGTTCATCATGCTGGTAGACATTGTACTCCTTTGCTGATATGAAACCATCTCCATCATGGTCATTCTTCTTAAATATATCAGCTAAGATTTCATCATGGACTGAGGGATGACGTTTTTTGCCATCTCTTGCAAATTCTTCTTTCAAATACTGGCTTATCTAGAAGACAAGAAAAAAGTCCAACCATTGTGGCTTTTACACCAGTACTCGACAGCTATCTTCAAGGACTCTTGGGGTACGCACATAAGTTATTGTGACTGCAGTGCAGACAAGTTGAAAGATTGTTTCCCAAGAAGTCTGAGACACACTAATGTATTAACCAAAGCAAATTTCAACATTGCGCAGTGTAGTTTATGTCAGCATACAGAAGCTTTACATGATGAACTACACCAGAGGCAGCTCATGTAAAGATAACACTGATGCAATTATACCTATAGTTTTATAAATTACTTATTCCAAATTAGTTACATCGTATTACCTCAAGTTCAGAGAGTTTCTTGTCACTGTCCTTGTCTATTTGATTAAACGCTTCAACGCTGCGAGGTCCCTTATTTACTGCATAAAGTTCAATCTCAAAAATCAATGTTGCATTGGGTGGAATCTTGCCCTGTGCTATGAATAAGAGGAGAAAAAAAAGCATTTAAGAAATCAGACACTGTGGCCACAGATTACAAATATGATAAATTCACATGTAAAGTGTCTTATTTTTTTTTTATTACAAAAGGCTGTGTTAATATTCAGACTAAGCTCTGAATTTAAATATTATACAGCTAGACAGAAAGATTGTCCAGATCATGTTAGATAAATGATTTTGAGAGAGATTTGCAAACACATACTTCCCTGAAACAAAACTGTATTGCTCATGCCATTCAGGAACCTTTAGTTTTTAAAAGAAGGCTTTGTGCTATCATGAAAAACAAGCATTTCTGAAGTCCTTACTCTTTCACGTATTGTCATACGACAGGGCTTATTCATATACTGATTCTAAGACATATGCCTTTATTAAATATCTGCAATCTGAATTAAAAAGTTGCCGTAATAGACAAACGCTCATATGTATTTTCTGTCTGAAGAAACAAACAGGCAAGATCAAGTTTTACCAACTTACTGTGAATTATACCTATGGTTAAAGGACTTGATGTAAAATAGTGTTTAAAATATACATCTCATTAGAAAGAAGCAATATCATCTGATTCACACACAAAAAATCCAAACCCCCAAACTACTAGAATATTTTTTCTAGTCTCTGAAGAAAAAAGAACAGTTAGACTTCATTATTTCTGTGTTCTGATATCTGATATAAAACCACCACTGCCTGTTAACACAGGTCACTGTATCATGCATCTGGCAATAAGAGGGAACTGAAGATAGTAACAAACTAAAGAGGTCTAAAAGTAGTGCCAAAAAAGCATCATGAAATCATGCAGTGTAAAATTAAAATGTAAACATGCAAGTTTCTTCAATTCATAGCCAAAGCCAGTGAGCATGACATTCTAACCTTGGAATTTTGACAGACTTTTAAGCTTGTGCTCCTCCTTCATAAACTGAAGAAAAATTAAAGAATCTACTTTGTTATATATACAGAAGGTAAACAAAACTGTTACTCATGCTACCCATCTAAAATATCCATAGTAAAAATGACAGGTTTCAGAGTTCAAAAGACCTTAATCTTACAAGCTTTAAAAATATAGAAGTTTTAAATATATCTGAATATGAATCACAATTTATATACTACTTATGTAAGAAAGATACAATATTAGAATTCGGTGCCAGTAGTTTACAAATATACATACCAACAAAGGAAAGATATATAAAGATTTAGAAAGCCACATGCATCTTTTCTAATTCAAGATTAGGCAGGCATCTTCCCCAGCATGCAGGAATACGCTGAGACAGAGGACAGGTATGCTGCAGGAAAAGAATACTTTCTTGAAGGGCTACCTAGAACAAACAGTTAACACTAGTATTAGAGTTTAAGTACATACTTTTATTTGCGTCAGTCTTCTTCCTTGTTGTTATGAGACTTGCTTATTAAACATTGTGCTCAAAGGGAAAACTTTAGTCCTAGTAAACTGGCTACACTGGCTACAACTGAACTGTACAAAAGACAAAACTGGTGCATGGAATCCTGATATAATATCACTACAAAACAGTTATTATAGAGCAGGAGCTACTTTTTCACAGAAAGCGCTACACCCAAGTCAGAGATGAGTTAAAGTTATCTACAATTAAGAGTGCTGAAACACTGCATAAAACTCTGACTGGAACTTTTTTTTTTTCATGTAGACTGCACCCTTAGGCATCATAAATTCAAATCAGATCTAATGCATTTTACTGTTGTAGTTATTATGTAATGTGACGTTACCATCCATTAACTATTGAGAAGGTAAGCAATTTTAAAACAAACTATTACTACTTATATTAATTCTGTGGCGTGCACTGGATTACATTCCATTTTGCTCAAAAGATGCAGAATCTCATTAAAAGGCTAAGCAGATAGAAGCCAAATAACAGAAACTAAACATGAAGAGAATATAACAGATTAAGGAAAAAATGCTTATATGAATCATTAAGATCTTGCTTTTTCTGTCAGCTTTTCATATTATGGCAATACATGGAAGAAATCATCAGTTGCCATGTACTGAATTCAAATGCAAACTGCAAGGCCTGGGTGTGGGTCTATGACGAGGACTGCTTAAACTGCATCGGAATGAGCAGGATTAGGCTGCAGAGCTGCAGCCATCACCTTCAGTGCCTCTAGAAATAACAGCAACATCAATTCTTAAGTCTTTTACAATACTGTATGTTTGATTGGGTAAAACAGAGGAAAGACAAAGTTTATTAGCAGAGCTACTTTTTTACCGTATCCTTGCTGTCCATATGCTAACGATGGAGGAATGATCACTTTCCGTTTTTCTCCAGGACACATATTCATCATAGCAATATCTAATCCTTTTATGACTTGTCCAACACCCAGAACGAACCATTTTGGATGACCTTCATTTTGCGTCCGACTATTAAAAAGAATTGTGAGTGGATAACAGTGAGTTTAGTATTTATATTTTTTAAATATAAAAATAACTTCAGCAGTCAGTAAAAATGTAGATTAGATTATTAGAACACAAGAACGTTTAGAGTCCAAGAAGAAGTAGTAACACTGTTTTTCTGCTACATTTATTATTAATTTAAGGTCAAATCTTGAGATGTGCAAGGGGCAACCTCCTTTTGAAAAAAAACAAGTTAAAAACCTAACTTCTTACAAAAACATCCAATCTTTGTGACCATAGATACTGCGTGCCAGAAACAAGGTGCTGCTGCAGGAAGCCTGCAAGAGGAGGAGCGCTGGGAGCAATTCACTGCTAGGAAGCAAAAGTGTCTTTGGCAGTTCACATCACTGTAGGATGGGACGGAACACGCACAGGTGTGTAGGGGGAACATGGCAATCTTGGCTACAGTACTGTGTGCTCACCCACTGCTCTGTTCAGTTTAGATATTTGGTGCTTGAGCCAGTTTCTGGTCATATGAGGTGTCCCAAGGGTGGGAGCTGAATGGTGACTGCACAGCATGTAGCTCGGAAGTCAGAGGGAAACACCACGTGTGCCAAAATCAGTCACTTCAACAGGCAAAAAAATGCAAGTAACATGGTTCTGTTAAATGTAGAATTATCCTATATTGATTTTTTTCTTACTGATACAAGCCGAAGGAACCAATCAAGATTCTGTAATAAACCAGGCTACACTGTAATTTGCCCAAAGATGGGTAAGAATGAGCCAGGTACCTGAAGGAAAGAAAAGACTCTCCTCCACAGTTCTGCACAGGTTGAGTCCTGCCTCACTAGTAGGATGCAACAACATTAAAAGCAAGGCACTGTAAAAATAAATCTTTTGCACAAGAGTTTCTGTGCAAAGCCAGCTGAACCAAGCTGAAACTGCCTGAAGATAGATGGATAGGGCAACGCGAAAAAGCAAAAGGCCAATTGCTAACCCTGGGGCAAAGAGGAAGGCAGCACAAATTGAAGAAGGAAGGAGTGACAAGGAACGGGCATAAAGACTGCAAACCACTAGTGTAATGTGGCTGCCCCACACGATGCCAACTATGTAGAACCACATGCAGTACTCAAGTTTCTGTCTAAAATAGTCACTCTGCGTCCCTGCCAGGAGCTCCTCCTCCAAACCCCAGTTTTTCTGCACAGATCACAGCACAGAACGTGGCAGGCGACAATATGGTGTGTGTGGGGGGGTTTATTTTCGCCCTGCCACAGGGGTTCTCCATATGAGGTGTCTTGCTCCCCCGTCGGTCCCCGTGGCATGGCTTTGGCTTCCAGCTTACCTCCGCACTGGTGCCTCTTGACCCTAGGTAAAACCCTACATCCTTCAACACTCGGCGGAAGAAAAAGAAAGGCTGAAACGGGGGAAATTGACTAAATCGAACGTGCTTAGCGTGGGCCCCAAGCCGGGAGAGCAGCAGGACCGCTGCTCCTGAGGGCGGGCAGCCCGTGCCACGTCCGCCGCCGGCTCAGGGCCTACCCTCCCCTCCACCCCCCGGCTGCCCCGGGAGTCCCACCTGCAGTAAAACTTGGATCCGTCGCTGGCCAGGAAGCCGTCGTAGTGGGCGTTCAGCAGATCCCCTTTCTTGCTCTTCGGGCTGCACGCCTCGGGGAGGTGCAGCACCTCGATTTTAACCTCCTCCTCCGCCGCCCTGCCGCCTTCGGCCTGCGCCGGGGCCGCCAACAGGGCCAGCGGCAGCAGGAGCAGGGTCAGCCCGCGGCCCATGTCGCTCGGAGGAGGCCGCTGGCGTGGCACCGTCCCGCCGCCGAGACGAGGCGAAGGGGCTGAGCCTGCGCTGAGGCCGCCGCCTCAAGCCTCCCCGGACGCGGGCAGAAGCCCAGCCCCGGCAGCCGGAGGGGCGGGCGGTTCTGCGTGCCCGACCCCCTCCGTTCAGGAAGCGACAGGGACGGCAGGAAACAACGGCGGGGCGGGGGGTGTGTGCCGGGGGAGGCGCGGCCGGGCGGCGCATGGGAGATGCGGAGCGGCCCGCCGGGCGGGTGGCGCCGCCGGGGCCG